TTGTCTAATCACTATGCTGCATACCTGAAATTACTACAAAGTAATACTGCATGTAAATTTTAATTGAAAAAGTTTTTTAAACTAAAAAAAAGAGCTGAGTAGATTTTCCTGAAAAGATATAGAGAAGGCTGGATTTAGAAAGACACCTTATGCCTACAGAATAAGAAAGTGGGAACCCTAGCTGGTGTAGCTCAGTGGATTGAGCATGGGCCTACGAACCAAAAGATCAAGGTTCAATTCCCTGTCAGGGCACATGCCTGGGTTGCAGGCCAGTTCCCTGCAGGGGCCAGTTCCCTGCAGGGGATGCACCAGAAGCAACCATACATTGGTATTTCTCTCCTTTCCTTCCCTTCCCTTTCCTTCCCTTCTAAAGATAAATAAATAAAAATTAAAAAAAAAAAGAAAGTGGGAGAAAAGAACAATCACTGAGTTACCTGCAATGCACAAAGAACATATTTTTCTCTTTTTATCCGTGTAACAACCCTGCCATTTCACCTCGCAGGCAAAGAAAACGAAGCTCACAGAGGTTAAGTGACCTCTGTCTACAGGAGGTGCGGGAACTGGATTCCAGACCATAGCTGTCTGTTTCCTAAACTGGTAGGCTTTTCCCAAGTTTAATTTCCTAACATACTTAGTTCCCCAATTCTGCTTTAACTCAGATGGCTCTGTATTTTAGCAGTTTTTCTTCCTTCCATGAACACAGCGAAATACCTATAACTAACTTTGATGGACTATCAAGGTCTTATGGTTTCTATAAGCACTTCCGCTATGTAGAAATGAAAGATCTGCCAACTTGCCTTTATTTTTCAACCCTGCATACGGAGAACCCCCAGGCAGCACTCCTACCCAACACGGATTATAACCAGATGGACTTCCAGTCGTTTCCACATTATCATTCATTCATTCGTCCACTCAGGAAATAAAGGAAGCTACTCTCACCAACCCTCCCTTGTGACCCTAGAGATAATAGAGCAAAGGGAGAGGCCGCTCAGTGAAGTAATTTACATAAAAGTTATAAAAGCTCCTTGTTATCTCTCACGACCAGGAAATGGACTATTCCAGAAAAATCAAACATCCTGAATAACATGATGCTTGTAAAGGGACTATCAATTTATAAAGAATTTCAAAGCAATAAAACAGTCACAATAGAGGCTCCCAAACCCACTACAAATCATAGTCACCTGGGGAGCTTTTGGGACAGATGCCAGAGAGGTTTTTTAAATGTAGATTATGGTCATCACTTACCTACTCAATCAAAACCTCCAGGAGGTGGGACCAGAAAATCTGTATTTCTAGGGAGCCCCTCAGCTGCCAACTGCTGGGTACAGAACCTTTCAAGAAACACTGACTTTTGGGAATTCCTGGCAATAAAACATGCTTAAAAGGCTAAGGCCCTGCTGAACACAATGTGAGCTTCTCTCAAGGCTTCAGGAGACCCCGGGCTCTGCCAGTGGCTCCGGTTCACCCCTACGCTGACCAAACCAGAAGGAAAGGAAAAGTTGAGATTTCACATTGGCAGAAAGCTGGGGAAAAAAACAGCTTTTGTTTTGCTATGAAATCCAAACAGCTAGTTTTCCCCCAGAGGAAATGCAAACTTTATGCTTGCATTAAAAAAAAAAAAGGAAAATGCTTCAAAATATACAGTAGGACTCTCTTAACCAACTGCTTAGCTCAAATTCAGAATGTTAGCAGGCCCAAAAGCAGCAAAAAAGGAGCATATTCAACCCGAGTAAGAGACAGCAGAGAAACTTCAAGACCGTCTTAACTACCAGAAAGGAGGACGATGAGTTTAAATTAAGAATGGCATTCCAGGATTAGGTAAAGCCACGTTCCTGATCATGGCAAAACCAGGTAAAACCTGGAAACGGGGACAGCTGAGGTCTTTGAACACGAGGATGAGGGTTCCTACCCGCCCACAGGGCTTTCATGTGAAATACACCTGAAATACTCCATAATAGGATATCCCATTAAGGGCCCCAACAGGTGTTAGGGTTTCAAAACTCTATGAATAACAAAGTCAAAACAAGAAAGTGACCAGGCCAATCAATGGGAGTTTATGGGTTAGGACATAAAAATACTGGCCTTACAATCACCAAAATCTTTCTTACATAAACAGAAGTAACTGCCAGCAATAACCAGTAACCAAACAAAACTAATAATCAGTCACCATCCCACACAATAATCATGGTCATGAGGCAGCTCGACAGCAATTTAAACCATGTATTTTCATGAAACTCTAAATTGTATCTTAGCTCCGTATTGCAGGGGTTTCACGATTCCAAGGTGCAGAGGTTCATCTTTCCTCCCAAAACATACATTATGCCCAGTACAAGTTTGATGCCCCTAATCGGCCACTAAAACAATAGCAGTATTATTAGATACTATTATGGGTAAAAAAAAAATATCAAGCTGGAATTCACTAGTCTAATACACCTCAGGTTTATGTGGGTAGTTTCCAACACTCTTCCGGCTGGGTTTGGCTGGGTCAAACATCACACCAAACATGTAATTAGGGGGAAAATTGTCTTTTTTTCGATATTGTTGTTAGTTTGCCTCCCTAAATGCTGGTAACTGAAAATGCCTTTTCCACTGCTATCTTAAAAACCCTTAAAGAGGCATTCCTATTAGGTGGTGCTAAGCAGAGTTATGTTAACTGGCTTGGGCTGTGGGAAAGTTTGAAAAACAACTTAATTTGGGGGAGGGGTTTCCAGGAGCATGCATAAAAGACACATGGACGAAACCGCGGGGGTTGGGATGGAGGGTGGGAAGTGGGGATGGCTGGGGTGGGGGGAGTGGTGGAGGGAAAATGGAGACAACTGTACCTGAACAACAATAGAACATGTAAAAAAAAAGAAGAAGAAAACAAACTAATTTTAAGCATTCTGAGAAGGGCTCTCTCATTTTGTTTGTATCATTTTAGCAACTGGTTGAATTAAGTCAACGTAGAGAATTTCCAGCCCAGAGTAAACGGCCGGGACAGCATACCCACCTCATGGGTATGGCAGCTCCCAGTAAGCCGGCCCTCCCAGGTAGATCCAGACATTAAAAAGGGAGTGTCCTAGATTACACACATTTTCTTCAGACACAATCACGGTATGCGTTAGCCCTGCCACATCAGTCTGCAATTGCCATACACAATTTTCAAACATTTTAACACCTCCCAATAAGCTGCAATTTTTGAACTGTACTCTGAAGTCCAGATTAGGAGATTTGACAGAATTTCACAAACGCACATCATTATCGATTTCCGTGAGTGTGAAAGAGAACACAATCAGGAAAAAAAAAGAGTAGGGTGCTCAACCCGAAACCCCCTGAACAGGAAAGAAGTATCACTGCCAGCTCCCAGCCCTAGGACTCTATACAGACTCAGCCCGGCACCCCCGTCTCCTGCCTACCTCCACTCCTAGAAAAGAGGTTCAGTACACGGACCGCCCTGACCACATTTCAGCAACTGGAACTGTCCCTGGGAAAAACACCAGGCTCCTACAAACAGATGTGGCAGCCAAAGGGGAGACCGAAGTCTCCTCTGTCCCTCAAACCACCTGTAAAATGGATGAACACAGGACTGACTGCTTTCTTAGAGGGCCACAGGCACCTGCGATGTTTGTTCACTTCGTCACTGGCCTTTTGCCAGGGTGCAAAGTGACAGTCGTGGGTAAAGCCCTAGTTCCAAGCTAACAATATTCCTTCCCTGGGACAGGCCGGGAGGAGCGCGGTACACTCTCTCCTGATTACACAAGCAGGGTGTCCTTCCTAGAACGAACGGCAGACCAACGAAAAGGGGGGACGATGCCGTTTTCATCTCCGGCCAGCCTGAAACCCAGCTCTGAGCGGCCGGACGCCTGCGGCTCCGGTTCCCTGGTCCGTCTAGCCCAGCCTCCCCACGGCTGGTCAAATGTCTCCGGGTCAGCCAGCTAAGAGCGGCCCCCCTTCCCTCTCCGTCTCAGCCACTGGCGACCTCCCTCCCACACATCGTTATCTCAAACACAGGGCAACTCCCAAAAGAGGGAACCGGGGACCCTGAGGACAGAGCCACACTCCCAAACTTCTCCATCAAGCCTCCAACTCCGGCTGCCTTCCTCCTCTCCCAGGGAGCCCGCAGGGCTGCTGCAGCGGGAAGCGGGGCCGGCTCTGGTCCTTTTCAAGGGGGAGGTCGGCCGCCGCGTACCTGGGTCAGTTTACTCTGTGTAAAGCAGGGTCTTCCCCGCACAAACTAACTGGACCTGCCGGTCTGCAGGGCGTTTGGAGATGTTTGAGGTTACACGGCCCCAGTTACTGCGCCCACGGGGGGAATGCTTTCTTCGAGGGAACTTTGATGGGACAGGTGCAGATTACAATGAAGGGGACTTCCAGCGATGCGGGGGCCCCCATCCCGTGGAGGACAGTGAGAGCCCCAGGCCGCGCTCGGCACCGAAGAGGCGCCCGCAGACCGCACTGCCTGGCCAGCCCCGAGGCCCAGCAGCGCCCCCGCCCCGGCCTCCCCCTGGACCCCCCCCCCACAGGCCAGGCGCCCCACGGGCCGGCGTCGCCGCAGCCTCCTCACCTGCCGCGGCCGCCTGTCCGGCCCGCACCTGGGAGGGGAGGAGAGGGGCCGGATTCAGGCTGAGGACGCCTCAGGCAAGGGGGCTCCAGGCTCCGCCGCGGCAGCGTCTCCGGGGCTGAGGGGTACAGGGGGGCGGACGCGACATCCTCACCGCCTGCCCCAGGAAGTGGGCCCCCCCTATCCATCCCCCAGCCGGCCGGCCCGGCCGCTCCCGCCCCTCCCGCCCCTCGCGTGGCCCCGCCCCCAGCGGGACCCGCCCCCTCCCGGGCGCGCGCCGCGCTCGAGCCACCATAGAGATAGGCGAGGTGGCGGCGGGCTCCAGCGCGGCCCGCGCGCGCGCCCCCTGGCGGAGCCGAGGCCGCCGGAGGAGGGGCGGGCCGAGCCTGAAGCCGGGGCCGGGCGCGGGTTGCGGGTATCTGAGCGTCCGACCTCCGCGCAAGGAGGTGGAGGGTCCGGGGGTCCGAGTCTCAGCTAGGCCATCGGCCAGCTTGGTGACCTTGGGCGAGTCCCTTAACATCGCTGAACTCGCTTCTTAACAAAAAGTTTGAAAGTTGCCTCACCTTCCTATCCCCTCCTTCCGTACCACGCTGTACGCAGGTGAGGGTTCCCGAACGACGATGGAGGAAGCTGAGGCCCATCAGAGCTCACTTGCCTATTCAATGTCCTGTAGCTGGGAGGTATTGTTAGCCAACTTAACTACCATGGCTGAAAGCCTTTTTGAAAGAAAGGGTTTATTGAGCCCTACGGGACCAGGTCCTAGGGAATGAAATTTAAACCAGCAGCAGCAGCAGCGCTGGGTGGAGAAGACAACATGTCCCCGCTGTCCTGGAGCTGACAGGGTGCTTTTCCATATAACACATGGGTAGAAAAATGTAAGTTGTTTGGGAAGAATTTACACTGGCTACAGAGAAGGGGGATAAGGTGAAGCGACGGGGCAGTTCTATGACAGGAGCCCTGTCTATAAGAAAGAAATATTTACTGCTTTTCACTGGTTACAGGCAATAGTCCTGAAGGTCACGCACGTGCAAGATCTGATGGCTCATCTTAATGGGCTAGGAGCCCCCTGGATGGATGTTGATTCAAAGCTGCAACACACATTCAGGAATGTGAGCAGTCTGTCACCTGGCCCGCAGCCATCAACAGGCTAACTGCTCTGCCCTGCTTTCCAGCCCACGGTAATTTAATTTAAAACATTTCAGAATCTTGGCTCTTGTCAATCTCAAACCCCAGGCTTGTCCCACTCACTCCATAGAACCTCCCTCATCTAGCATTTCCCAGGACTGGCTGGTTTCACAGTAGGAAGTTGATACCCCCAGGGGTGTCCAATGTTTTGGCGTCTCTGGGCCACCCTGGAAGAAGAGTTGCCTTGGGCCACACGTTAAATACACTGCGACACGTAATACAGAAAAAAAAAACACCTCAAAATGCTTTAAGTAAATCTACAGTTTCGTGTTGGGCCGCAGGTCGGACCCCTCAGGCAGAGGAAGGCTGTGGAAGAACCAACATGGCTGGGTGATGAGGGGGTGCTGATGAAGCCATTCATCAGCTCTGTACCTTCCCGGGGCGTGCTTACGCTTCCTGAACTCATTTCCTCACCCCTGAAACGCAGGCTGGTACAAGGATGTAAAAGAGCTAAGGAGCTAACACGCCAGGTTTCGTGAACTGTAAAAAGCACCAGGGTTGCACGGGGAATCCTTAGCCACTGTGGGCTGAGAAAACGCCTTGCCATGAAAATAATATAAATCTTAATGCTTTTGACTGGTGTCTATTGACACTTAATTTTCTTATGCTTTAGGTTCCTACGGAGACCTCTCAGAGTTCTTGTGAGCAATTTGTTTTGTTTTGGTTTTTTGCATTTTAAAATAAGAAATACCCAAGGAAAAATCGTTTTATGTGCAGACTCACCTTACAAGTATCATTTCTCACCTTCTCAACAACTCAGCAAACTGAGCAGTATTACACCCATGAAGATCTGCAGATTAAGTATGTCCCCAAAGCCTCACAGAAAAAGACCGAGCTGGAATTTGAAACTGGATCTTTCTACTACCAGGAAGTCAAGGAACGCCTGGCCTTCTAAGAGGCCTCCGGCACCTGAAATAAAGGTAGCCGTCTTTTTCCTACCTGGCTATTCTGGTAACTTTCCTTGATGCAATTCCCTGTCCTCTCTGCTTCTCTTCAGGGTTTTATTTTCCACGTGAAGGCATTTATTGTCTCTTTTTCCCCCCTCTCTGGTTCCCTGTCCCCTGAGATGCCTAGACCTTGGGCATCCTCTCTTATTTCTGAAAAAGATTTGTGATCTGTGATTAAGACACAGTGTTCTCCACCCGGCCTCTCCCTATTACAGTCCCAGAAAGTTAATAGGCCCAAAACAAGGATGGGCTGGGGCCACAGAGAGAGATGTCTTTTTGTAAATGGAAGATTACGAGGTGAGCACTCCCTTCCTGAAGGGAGTGCGTGTCATCCACTGTGCAGCCCAGTGATTGGAGTCTGGACTCACGACGTCCTGTGGAAATCATTTTTTCTGAGCCCTCTGGCCCGTGTGACAGCCAGAACGTCGGGATGCTGCTGAATAATGCGCACATCACCGAAGCAGGAGGCCTCGGAGCCGCGGTCACCCACACTCCTCCTTTCCCCACCTTTCGCATTATCACCATCACTATTTTTCATCTTTATCGTGCCCTTGCACAGAGGCAGTCAATAATGCCTGCATTGTGCTGGTAATCTGAAATCCTTTTCCGCAAGCAATAGTATTTAGTAGTAATAAAACACTAATTTGTCTACCAAGTGACATATTTATAGGAGCTGTTTTCTGGGACAAATTTTTATTATTTCTACTCATTTGCTAAGTACTTTCCAATACATATTTATGAAGCGCATGCCTTTCCCCAAGCAGTAGTGAAAAAAATAAATCACATTATTTCTTTTATTAGCAGCAGCATGGCTTAGAAGTCTCGGTGCCCTGATATTTGTTTGTTCTGGCAAGAGCCAGAATTACCAGTGACCAAGCACCTCCTACGTGCCTGTGAAAGGCACTTACATCAATCATCTGCTTAATTTCCCTGAGACATGTATTTTATGAATAAGGAAAATATAATTCCCCTGCAACATAGATTTTAACCACTAAGACAGAGAGACATTACCTTAAGTGGCTCAGCCATAAAGGGCCCACAGGGTTTTGAACCCAGATCTTTGAACAAGATCCTGAATCATTTGGACCACCACTGAGGCATAAGAAAGGGAGGATGTGGGGTGGGTGCACCAGCCACAGTGGGCAGAGGCAGCACCTGAGGGAGTCAAGGGCACTTGGGTAGAAGAGCTGGCCTGGGAAACTGTCCAGAGTGGCATGACCAGAGCAGTGTGTGGTGGCAGCGTGCAGGGCCATAAAGCCCTGGTCTAAGAGCAAGACCCCAGGAGGAAGCAAGTGTGAGGGGCCAGGTCCTGCAGGAATGTCACTGGGTGGTCTGGCAGAGCAGTGAATGGAAGGCAGTGGCGCTTCCCATGGCCAGGGGAACAGAACTGCGCAGGTTGGAAATTAAAGGCAACATGGGGACAGGAAGTCAGGAATCAGGCCTAGGAATCAGGAGTTCTGGGTTCCAGCCTGGTTCTTCCACCAGGATTACAATTCCTCCTCTTTGGGCCTCAGTTCCTTTTCTTTTCTAATTGATTTTCGAGAGAGAGAGAGAGCGAGCATCAGTTTGTTTTTCACTCATTCACGCACTTGCTGGTTGTTTCTTGTACGTACCCTGCCCAGAGATGGAACACACGACCTTGGTATATATCGGAACGACGCTCTAACCAACGGAGCCTCCCAGCCAGGGCCTGGGCTTCAGTCCCCTTCTCTGTTACGTGGCAGGATGGGCTGGAGGGTCTTCCCAGGCCTCTCAGATCGAACTGTTCTAGGGTCCTCGGTCAGGGACTCAGCACCTGAAACCATAGCAGATCCCTCTGCAGGCCAGAGACGGCCACCAGCTCCATGCTGAATGCCAAGCCCAACTGACTGGGGTGCGGTGTGGGCAAAAATCGCAGAAGACTGCAAGCTCCACAAAAAAAAGAACGCTTGGTTGGTTGGCGGAGTGTTCACGGGCTCAGGCGCAGGGATAGCCCCTGCCTGGCTTAACGTGCAACAGTTTGCTACCGGGACTGCAGAGATGTGCCCACAGGCCCACCGCTCACTGCGTAAGGATACTGAAGGTTAATTTCCCCTGCCGTGTTTCCGGGGGGTAGCTGCACCAGGGTTCCCGCAGGTAGGCTCCCCAGTCCCACCCCCACACAGGCAGACACCCTTGCGCCGGCTTGCCACGCACTTCCAAAGCTCCGTGCTTCTTACCTGTAGCCCTGCTGCGTGTATCACCTTTAAATGTCATCTCATCCATCTACAGCTCTGCCTCCCCCTTTCCCTGAAGCCAGCACTCAACTCATTAATTACACAACAGGCTCTCCAACCGAGACAGGCAACCTTCCTTTAAAAAAATGTGTTCAGGAAGCCCGACCGTTTCTCTACACGGCCTTTTCCCTTCCCTGGTCCTCCTCTCCTCCCACCAGGGTTACGGCTCGCAGATGGATGGCCACAGTGCTGGTAACAGACAGGGGGGCTGTTCCATCCACTAGGCGGGAGGCTGTGGTACAGCTGGCAGGAAGAAAGGGGTAATTACATTGCCTCTCAGAGCCACCGGCAATGAATTTCTGCATGAAGACTAGATTTGCCATGTATTATGTATGCCAGCATCAATTTTCCCAGCTGGCTCTATTTACTGAGCAAATTCTCCTCTGTCTGTTTACGGGCAAGGCCATGGTTCAGCACCTCTGGTTACTCTATACCGTGGAGAGGCCCCACGGGGCACCGTGCATATTAAACGAGTGGCTGGATTCTCCAGGAGCAGGGCGCACCCTCCCTTCCTTAGATTACCTCCCTGGGCCTGCAGGGAGCTCCAGACTCGCCCAGTCCTGGCAATGCAGGCAGGTGTGTGAAACCAAATCAGCAAGTGAAAGAGAAATAACTGTTCTCTGGGGCCCCACTGGGGGGAACTGAAAAACAACCTTCTGGGGTAAATTAGGTGGATCTGGGGCTCAGGGAATTTCCTTCTGACATTTTTAAGAGCAGAACATAGGTGGAAGAAGAGCTTTACATTTACAAGGTTACCGCAACTCAGGAACTCAAAGACAGAGCTAAGGGGAAGACAGCCTCATTTTACAGAGGCAAAAAAAAAAGAGAGAGAGAGAGAAGCAAAGGCAAGCTCCGTGGTTCAACCCCGTGTTAGGATGGAGGGCAGGTAGGTGGTGACGTGCAGGGTCTTCTGTCCTGTCAACGGTGCACTCTTTCGGGGAGTCGCCAGGCCGGGGTGCACTGGGCTCCCACCACAAAGACACATGGTAGAAATGGGGGAGAGAACTTGGCCCCAGAAGGAACTCCCGGGTTTCTCCGCCACGGCGTCCTCTCTCACCGGGGCTCCGTGTGTTCCCACAGACAGAGAAGCTGAGGAAGCTGAGGTGTCTCCCCGCCCAGCCCGAGAGCTTTTCCGGGGGCCCCAACACAGCAGCGGACAGAAGCGTTCCTGCACAGGACAGCCAGGGGCCTTGAGGTCTCTCTCCTTCCCAACCGAGCACAGTCACATCTGCTGTCCCTGTTGTGCTGGACTCTGCTCCAGAGTCCCCCAGGCCCCAACGTCCACCGTCTCCTGGAAACCTGTTGGCTGGGAAAAGGCAGGAGGGAAGGGTCAGTTTTTGAGTTAAGCAACCCAGGTGGGTAAGCCTCTTCAGTTGCAAGGTCTCAGCACCCAAGATTTTCTCTGTGAGATATCTATGGGCATAGAAACCACCCTCAAGGGCCCAGGTCATTTTTTAGTTTTATTATTATAATTTATTGATTTTTAGTGATACAGAGAAAGAGAGTGAGAGAACGAGAGAAAAAAGAGAGAGAGAGAGAGAAACACTGATTTGTTGTTCCACCTGTCTATTCATTGGTTGCTTCTTGTATGTACCCTGACCGGGGCTAGAACCCATAACCTTAGAGTATCAGGACAACACTCTGACACTCCAACCAAATGAACTACCCTGCCAGGGCTTAGTTTTACTGTGTATCAGTATTACTATTACGAGTTTTCTTTGCCCCTGGGACCGGCTCACCAGACGGGGAGACTTGGTCAGACACATGGTGCGCCGACTGCCTGGTGCCCCTGCCCCTTCGCCGCCGGCCAGGACCACCCGCGTGCTGGGCACGAAGCTCCAGGAGCGGCCCAGCGCGGGTCTGAGCTTCCCGCTGTCCCTGTCTCGGGTCATGTGGTTGGTCACCTGCAGCAGAAAGAGGCAAAGGCTTACAGATGCAAAATGCCCGTGGGGAGGACACCTGCTCCTACCGCTCCATTTTACAGGTGGGATCGAGAGGCCCGTGAGCAGAAACGCCTTCCCTGAGGCTCCATAACTCATCCACAGCCGCCCTGACCTAGAGCCCTGGGCTCCGGACTTGTGCACAGTTCTTTCCACCAAAGCACGATGTCTCGGGCTTGACACCAACAGAGCTGATGGGCACGCGTCTGGGAATAAGCAGACGTGCTGTCTGCGCTTCCTAAAGGGAGGCCACTGGTGGGCTCAGGCCGACACCCCCAGCCCTGCAGATGGGCATCCTGAGACCATGTCCCACCACGTGTCAGGGGGGCACCGGTGTACAGGGGGCATCGTCTGGAAAGGGGATCCTGATCTGGTTGGTCAGCTCTACTCTGCCTGGGCTGGTCATGGGTAAGAGAACCCTGTAACACGGGTTTAAACAAGAATATACGTAACTGCTAAAAATGGCATTCTGGAAGGATCTTTAAAGACATGAGAAACAGAATGAGATGGCCAGTTATTTTTTAACACAGTGACAGTCTTTTTGGAAAGCTGGTTAAAAGCACATGCATGTATGCAGAGAAAGAAGATTCTACGGACACATGTAAAAATATGGTTTCTGCAGAGGTGGCACCTGAGTACAGATTTGACTCTTATATTTATTTTTTACCCTCCCTAGGAGAAGCATGCAGACTTGTAAGAAATTACTCCATAAGCAGAAAATCTCATTTTAAAAGCAAAAAGGTCCCTTTCTAGGAAGCTCTGAAAAAACTGGGGGGACAGAAGCCAAACAAGTGGCTGTGTGGGGTGGGGGTTCGGGGCTGAGAGAAACGAACACTCAGTGACGGGACTGCCATGGGTGACAAGACAGGACACAGTTGCAGCCAAACTTCGAACCAGAAGCACTCACTCCATGTGAGTTCACCTACATTAAAGAGAGTAAAAGGAGAAGCAAGACCGCCCCGATTGCTTGGCTGTTTGTGGACCGACCCCCTCCTGGTCCAGAGCTCTAGATGACCCAGGGAAGCTGAGCTGTGACCCTTTCCTAAAGGGCCACTTGTGGGTTCAGAAGGTGCTGTTTAAGAGAAATAAAGAAGCTTCTATTTAAGGCAAAAAATTTCTAGCTATAGGTAGAAATCCTGTTCCTCTTCCCCCTGGGGAGAGCCCAGCGATGAGGGGGAAGACAAGCACGGCTGGCCAAGCGCACTTCCTCACCACCACTGCCACGCCAAGGTCCCGGGCCAGGGTCTTCAGCTCTTGGGCCAGCTGCATCATCAAGGCCAAGCCTGGAGGAGGAGAAGCAGAGGAGGAGGGCAGAGGGCAGGGGGGAGCTGGGGTGGGGGCCAGCTGGAGGCTGGACTCCAGAGCTGGGAGACGGGACCACAGCCCTAACCCTGGGCTCTGCCACACAGAGCACTCACCTTCCCTCTGCTGACCTCCCAGAAGTGGGGAGACCACAGCGGTGACAGAGTCCACAATGACCACCTTCACATTCCCTGAAGAATCGCTCACCTAAGGGGTTGGGGGAAGCAGGGGTGATGCTGAGCCACTCGGCCTCTAGAGGGCTCCCTAGAGGCCCCCCGGCTGCGGACAAGCTTGCTCCTCCCACAAACTGGTAAGATCTGATCACACACACACACCCCAGGCGTCACCAAATTCCAGCAAATGTCTTTTCTCCAACCCCGTATGTACACCTAACAGAATACCTGGGTGGACAGAGAGGGTTTAAATCACAGGACATCCCAGGTAGCCTGAGCTAATGAAATTTGAGAACTCCCTGTTCAGAGTGTTGCGGCCCCTGGTCAAGGATTTTCTTAGTGGCCATCTTGGTCCTCTTGGCCAGGCCCCCACCATCTCCTCAGGCCGCTCTTTCCCCTCTCCTGCTTACCCCCCAAATCCCTAACTTCCTGGGAGTTTAGTTTTCTCTTCACTTCACGGTCTCCTTCTAGCTCTGCCTCCAGGGCTCATCTTCCGTATCGAAAATGGTTCCAAATATAGACTTATCTAGACAGCCATCTGTTAAAAGCCACAATTTTTGTCTCTACACAAGATTAGCATCCTCCTGGTTTCCTGGACCTAAACTGACTTGGATGCTTCCCTGCTCCCTTACCTCTTCTTTTCATTTGTTCAGGGTTTTATTTATTTATTTTTAGAGAGAGGGGAAGGGAGGGAGAACGAGAGGCAGAGGAACATCAGTGTGGGAGAGATACACCGATCGGTTGCCTCCTGCACGCCCCCACGGGGGGACCTGGCCCGCAACCCAGGCACGTGCCCTCCTGACTGGGAATCGGACTGCTGACCCGTCAGGTCACAGGCTGGTGCTCAATCCACCAAGCCACGCCAGCCAGGGCTCCCTCACTTCTTACATCCAAGTCATTTGCTGATTCTGCTTCCTCAACCCTGTTTTTCACCTTGCGTCAGCCGAGTCTGGGATAGTCCGCATTGTCTGCTCTTTCTCTGGAATGTCTTCCTTCACCTCACACTTACTCACTCCTGGCCAGTCAGCAGCTTATCTAAGACGGGGTGGCAAGAAAGAGAGAGGGGAGAACTGAATCTGGCTTAGCCCGCCTCACTTTTGGGGAGAGCAGGTTGAAATCTCTGGCTGAAGTGGGACAGCAAGCCTTTCCCCGCTTGTAGCTGTGGCGCCATCAGGTCCTCTGTGGTGGGGAGACCCTAAGGTGGTCCCCGAATTCCCTGCCTTTGGGTTCTCAGGCTCTTGTATAAGCAACCCCCACCCCTTGACCGTGGATGAGCCCTGTGACTTCCTCTAACTAATAAAATGTCAAAGGTCTTGGAGAGTCACTGTCTTAATTAGGCTGTGTTACATGGCGAAGGGAATGAACATCACTCCCGTGATTACGTTATATTATATAAGACAGCACGTGGCCCTGGCTGGTGTAGCTCAGTGGACTGAACGCAGGCCTGCAAACCAAAGGGTCACCAGTTCGATTCCCAGTCAGGGAACATGACTGGGAAGGGGCCCAGGTGTCCAGTAGGGGGTGCGTGAGAGGCAACCACCCACTGATGTTTCTCTCCCTCTTTTTCTCCCTCCCTTCCCCTCTCTAGAAATAAATAAATAAAATATTTAATTTATAAAAAAAAAGGCTATAACAAAAGACGATGAAGGACCAGCAATTCCGCTTCTAGGTATTTACCCGAAGTGATAACTAAACACTAAACACTAAACTGAAAAGACATATGCAGGATACAGTCACTGCAGCACTATTCGCGATGGCTAAGACAGGGAAGCGATCTAAACGTCCATCAGCAGGTGAGTGGATAAAGAAGTTGTGCACATATACAGTAAAGTATGACTCAGCCATTGAAAGAAAACAGAGTGAAACCTTGCCCCCCTGCAGTAATACGGACGGCCCTAGAAGGCACTGTGCTGAGGGAATTAAGTCGGAGAAAGAGAAATCTCACATGACTTCACCTATATGTAGAATCTAAAACACAAAATAAACAACACAGAGACCGAAATCAGACTCACAGATACAGAGAACATTTTGATGGTTACTCCATGGGAGGGAGGCTGCGGGGAAGGGTTGAAAAAGTGAAGGGATTATGAAGTACTGGGTTGGCCAGTAAGTTCGCTTAGTTTATTTTTTGTACAAAGGCTCTCGAAGTGCTCAGTTGTCTTTCACTTCATTTGAAACAAGTGTGTTAGACGGCATCGTGACAGCCGTCATCTCCACGGGCATTAAAAAAAAAACACGTCAAAATGGGGGAGCTTTTGTGCAGCCATTTTAATATTGAAGATGGAAGAAAATATGCAACATTTTGGGGGTGTTATAATTTATTATCTTAAGAAAGGTAAAAACGCAACTGAAATGCAGAAAAAGATTTGTGCAGTGAACGGAGAAGGTGCTGTGATGGGTTGAATGTGTCAAAACAGTTTGCGAAGTTTCTTGGTACTACAGACATTCTGGCCGAATAATTCCCTGCTGTGGGGCTGTCTTATGTGCTGGAAGATGTTCAGCGGCAACCCCGGCCTCTGCCCACTAGGAGCCAATAGCAGGAGATAGCCGACATACTCAAAATATCCAACTCAATAGAGTTATTGGTGAAAATGAAAAATGTGTCTTTGATCTTACGGAAAACACTGAACAGACTTTCTGGCCAACCCAATATCTATTCTCACCGCCCTGAACATGGATGTGGATGTATAAAAACACGAGGCTAGAGCAAGAGCAGCCACTCGGCAATGACGAGAGGAAAGAGCAAGAGACTCAGACACACCAGCCTAGAGCCCCAATGATGTGGCCCTGCCGAGCCCCAGACACATCGGAGGTCCTCAGATGTCCTCGAAGCGTGAGTGTCTGGCAGCCACACTCTATTATTTGCAGCTGAAAACTGGTCCCGTGGGAGCTGCAGAGATGAATGCAACACGATCCTTGTACTCAGGGGGGTTACTATGTAGTGGGCAGGAGGAGCATATAAACAAGGAGGCGCTCTGAACCCATCAGGCACAGCTGGAGTTGCCAGACTGCACATCTGCATCTCCAGAGAGTCTGTAATAGGACATCTGCCCGTGAACAGTGAGCACCAGAGCAGGGAGGGGCAGAGCAGCAGGCTCACCTGCTGGGCTACAGCACCTCGGAGGTCCTGCAGCACATCCAACACCTGGAAGACGTCAAAGGCACGCGCCACCTGGATTCTCCGGAGAGCTGCTGCCTGAGAGAAGAGGGGGCTCTGGATTAGAGGGAGCAGGGCCGAGCAAGATGAAGGGGGACTTTGAGGCTGAGCAGGAACAGGCATCTGGAGGGCAGGACTCAGGTCCAGGAAGGCAAGCGGGCTTTGTCTCAGGGGCCAGCTGTCCCTGTGGTGGCTGCCTGGGTGCTGAGCTGTGAAGCTAAGTCCGGGATCAGTGGAAAAGAGTGCATGGACTAAATTAGTGGTGTCTGCCATGGGCAATAAATAGGGTAGGATGAGTGATGCTGGGCGTTTGCCAGGCCTGAACTGAGGTATGCAGGGAGCTGGGTTCCCCAGGAGGGTGGTGTGGGTAGGATCCAAGCTGGGATGGGGTCGTAACAGGGAGGCTTGACGGATGCAGGAAGTATTGATAGAGCAGCAACTTTCGATCCCAGAAAGGGCTATTCGTCTGAATGGCCAACTTTCTTACAATGTAAGGGTAATGGGGGTCTTCGTGTCCGAGCCTCGGAGGAATCCAACACCCCGCCCCTTACCTGCTCCCCCTCATCCGGGGTTCTCGCCTGAAGCAGCTGGAGGATGCGGGAGGCCGTCAGCCCTCCGTTGGCATCAACGTACAGGACGTTCTGCTGCAGGCCCTGGGCCACATTTGCAGCCACACAAAGACATACCTGAGTTAGAGACAAGGCGCCGGGTGAACTAGACCCTCAGGGACTGCCCCGAATGTGAGCTCCCCACCAGCTCCAGTTCAGATCCCGGGGACAAGAAGGGGCGGAGTTCAAGGCCAACTCCTAACCACTCACCTTCTCTCTTCCGAGCTCCAAATCACATGCCACTGGCTGAAGCTTCCCCAGGGGTCCAGGACCACACACCTACCTCCCCCAATCCTCCTGGCTGCCGGCTGCTCCTGTTACCTGGGTTTTGCCGCTACCCGGGACTCCCACAATTTCAGTCACTTCTCCGGTGTAGAGACCAGCATCGAGCAGTTTGTCTAGGCTGATGGCAGAAGAGGAAGGAGGAGAATCAACCCAGGGGACTGGAGAGTAGGGAGGGAAGTAGTAGCCAAGAAGAAAAACACGACATTCCTTCCAAGCGCTGCCTGTGTCCTGAGACAGTGGCTTAAAAACCATCTGTCCACAGAGGTCTCTGCTGCCCCATCGGGCCTTCCTTCATTCCCCATCTCAGCCCCTGTTGTTTTCCTGGATAATATTTACCATGTTTTTAACTTTGAAATAATTATAGATTCACAGGAAGCTGCAAAAAAAATGCAGGGGGAGGTCCCACGTACCCCTCACCTAGCCTTCCCCAAGGGCGGTGGCCTGCATGATGGGAGGAACTGTACTTCGGTGCAGTATCATCAACCGACATTGACGGAGTCCACAAGCTTCTTCTGATTTTGCCGTATTACTTTCATGTGTGTCTGTGTGTACGGTTCTGTGCCATTTCATCACACATCTCCACGAATGATTATGCGAATACCACAATCAAGACACAAACATTTCCAGCCCTACCAGGCTCCCTGGTGCTACCCTGTGGTATCCACATCCCTCCCCTACGCTTAGCAACCCCTGGCAACCACCCCTGGCAACCACCAACCTGTTCTCCACCTCTACTGTTACTTTAAGAACGGTGCATACATAGAATCATAAAGCGTGTGAGCCCTGTGATTGGCTTCTTCACTCAGCACCGTCCCGCTGAGATCCACCCAGCTGCTGTGTGTGTTGCTAGTCTGCCCCCTGCCATCACTGAGAGGCCCTCCATGGTGTGGATGCACCAAGTTCGTTTAACGGGCCACCCACCGGAGGAGGGCATTTCAGCTGTTCCCAGTTTGGCACAATTATAAATAGAGCTGCTATGAACATTTGTGTACAGATTTTGCGTAAACCTCAGTTTTTGTTTCTCTGGAATAAATGCCCAAGAATATGTGGCTGGGATGTAAAGTAAGTGCATATTAATTTTATAGGAAACCACTACTCCCCAGAGTGGCTATGCCATTTTATTTTTCCACTAGCAAAGTATGAGTGATCCAGTTTCTCCGCATCCTCATCAGCACTTGGTGTTATCATCACTGATTATTTTAGCCATTCTGATAGGAGTATAGCAATATCTCCTCGTGGTTTTAATGAATCTCCTCCTCATCTCCCTAATGAATAATGATGCTGAACATCCTTTTATTTGCCAGCTGTATGCCCCCTCTGGGGAATGTCTGTTCGTGCCTTTTGCCCATTTTCTAATTAGATTGCATTATAGCCGAGGCTTAAGAATTTTTTATATATTCTAGATGCAAGTCCTTTGTTGGCTACGTGGCTTAAAATATTTTCCCTACTTCATAGCTTGTTTTTTCATCCTCTTTTGCAGAGTAAAAGTTCATACTTGCGATTAGTGTTTAATTTTGACTTTCTTATGTAAAAAATTATGAATTTTACTGCTCATACTTTCGTTTCAAATCTAAGAACTCCTGGCCTCACCCTAGGTCCCAAAGATTTTCTCCTGTTTTGTTCTAAAAGATTAATAGCTTAAAGTTTTACATCGAAGTCCATGACCCATTTTCAATCTTAGGTTCATCTATTTATTCCCTGGGATGCTCAATAGCTCCAGCACCCTTTGTTCAAAAGGCTGCATTGCTCCTCCGCTGGTGTGTTTCTGCACCTTTGTCAAAAATCAGCCAGACACACCTGGGGTCTATTTCTGGGTCCTCTATTCCGCTCCATCGATCTGTACGTCTGTCTCTCCGCAATGCCGCATTTGTCTTGATTACTGCAGCTATACAGTAGGCCTTACTGTTTGGGAGAGTGATTCCTGCACCTTTATTCTTCTTTTTCAAAATTGTTTTAGCTGTTCTAGGCCATTGGCTCTTCCATAAAATGATGAGAATAAGCCTACTTCTACAAAATAACTTTGCTGGGGTTTTTGGTAGGAACGGCACTGAAGCTATCGATCATTTTCGGGAGAACTGGTATCTCTGCCATGTTCAGTCTCCCGACCCGTAAATGTCCCTCCGTTTACTTGGGTCCTCTTTGATTTCCTTCATCAGCAATTTTTCATGTTCGGCGTGCAGATCCTATCCCTGTTTTGCCAGATGGAGACCTATGTATTTCATTGTCTTGGAAGCAACTTTAAATGATATTGTGTTTCTAACTTTCATTTCCACATGTTCATTTTGAGTGTATAGAAGCACAATTGATTTTCACGTTCCTCTTACGCCCTGCGACCTTGCTGAGTTCACTTAGTACTGGCAGTCCCAGGGTTTGGAATTATTTTCTGTTTGCTTATTTTTGTCTGCCCTCCCCATTCGGCCCAGAGCCCCTTGGGGCAAGAGCTGGGCCTTGCTCACTGTCACACCCCAACGCAGGCACGTCGCCCGAACCCAGGAGCCCTGCAGTGACTGTGCCCAGAGAAGGGAGCGATGGGACGGTGCTGTCTAGTCCCTATTATCGTCAGCGCTCCGGCTGCAGAAGCCTTGGGGTAAAATTCAGGACACAGCCAATTCCTAATGCAAGATCTGCCCCTGAACCACCACGACGCAGACAACTAACTGGCCTCCACGTGCTGCCCAACGCACAGGCTGAAGACCCTCCTCCTCCACCAGAGCCTGTACCAGTGCCGCCAAGCCCGGACCACAAGCCTGGACCAAGCCCGGCACGAGCAAGGCAGAAACCTGGGCAGTCATCTCTGATTCTTCACACCTGTGTCCCACCTGGTAGGAGGGCCTGTTGCGTCTTCTCTTCAACGCATCTCCCACTGTCACCTGCCTTGGATCTGACCCACGCACCCCAGCACCCCTGAGCCCCTCCTCTGCCAGCCGCCCGGGTCCCGTCCGCCTCGCACACCCCACCACACTGCCCGTAGCTCCACTTCCACAATACAGCCCTCCTCCTGCCTCAAAGGAGGAAACAGGGCAGACAAGTCACAGTCAGGTTTTTAGACCTAGGCGTGTGACAGTTGTGACTTCAGTGCCTACTCTGCCACTTACCAGCTGCATGACCTTGAGCAAGCCACTGAGCCCGAGTCCCCGCTGCCTCACCTGCAGACTGGTGGTTTTCACTGTGATGCGCTCAGTGGTGGCCATGAACTACACGCATGGTGCCCGGTTCTTGGTGAGCACCCAGAGACAGCCCACCCTTCCTCAACAGCCAAGGCCTGCCTCCTTCACGGAACCTTCCCGAACCACTCTGCCCTCCTGGGCAGTGGCCCACTGCGGCTGCAGCCCTGCCAGCGTACCAGCTGACTGCTCCCTGAACGAGTCCTCTGAGTCTGCTGGTTTTACAAGCTCCCCAAGCCCACAGGCCGAGTCTGCTTCCTGTTAATCGTCACTCCCTCCGCAGGCTGCCTCCATACCTTCATGCATCCGCCTGTTGGGCTCACGGAGCTTGTCTCCACCCCACACTCCTTTAAGTGCAGGAGCCTGCCAGCAGGTAGCTGGCAACCAGGAGGCCTGGCAACCAGGAGGCCGTCAGCCGGTGCTAGACGGGTAACAGGCTCAGCTCCCCAACCAGGAGCCACGAGCACCACGCTGGGTGGACCATGCTGAGAGGCTGCATCGTGAGAGCAGCAAGGGCCAAAGCAGCCCCAAGACCCCTGTGGTGGCGGACTTCACCCAATTCCGCACCAGCAGGTGGGGAAAGGGGTCAGACCCCCTTAGCCAGAAAGTGGCTGTGGTCTTCTACCTCGCCCCTCTCCAAAGGGCACAGTGGAATGTAACTGCTCCTTCATAGTCACGTCCCCTTCCACCGCAGAGTGTGGGGCGTGAATCAAGCATCCCAGGGCTGCATCCCCAAATCCACCCCTTGCTCCTCCTGGGCTCAACTCAAGGGGTTAGTTAATGATCATTAACGCACACTCTGAAGAGATTGTGTAACTTGTCCTCAGTGGCTGGGAGACTCGAGGCTCTCGATAAATGCTGGTCCGGCCTGCTCTTTCTTGTCTGATCCTTAAGTGAAACAGGACAGAGAGCCCAAAGAAGAGCTGCTCCGATCTGCTAAATGGTAACAAAATGCTGACATCTTGTGTTACAGAGCAGCGGTTATTAACCAGGGGTGATTCTGTCCCTCAGGGGTCACCCGGCAATGTCTGGACACATTTCTGATCATCACAACTTGGGGAGGAGGGAGGTGCTACTGGCATCCAGGGCAGAGGGGCTTGGGAATGTAGCCAAACACCCTGCAGCACACAGGACATCCCCCCACCCCCTCCACTGCCCCACCAGCAAATAATGATGCATCCCAGAATGTTGGGAGTGCGAGCTCGCCAAACCCTGTAGTAAGTAAGGTAAGACAGCTCAGAAGCCCTGTCCATTGGTCCATGCTGCCCTCACCCCTGCTTGAGAAACCCTGCTCTCTCCAGACTCAGCCACCAAAAGCCAAGTCGGAAGCATCCATGTCCTCCTGACTCTCACCTTCTTCTCAAAATACACATACAAACCTTCCAATGCCTGTGGACAGGATGGCAGTGGAGGTCTTCAGTTCCTCGTAGAGATCAGCGCCATTGAAGGGGAAAGCTGAGAACTGAGCCAACAGCACCCGCCTCAGGGCAACCAGGGCCTGCAGAAGAGGTGGGGGCAGCTCAGGACGGAGCCAGGGGCACGTCAACCCAGAGCAGAGAACTCAGGAATGAGCAATGACCAGGCAAGGGAGGGGGCATCTCGGAGTCCCTTGTGCCCCTCCCCACTCATGAATCTCTGGGAACCCTTTGAACGGGGACAGATATTTGCAGATGCCCAGGTCTGGAATGAGATCATCAGCTCACCTTATAAGACAAGCCACATTTCTGGGCTACCTCCTCCAGGTCTGCGGAAACCAGGTCCGCCACTGAAAACAAAATGTGTGGTTGATTGGCAGAAAGGGCGGGGCTTCCCATGCTTGGCTTTTCCCGTCTGTAAAATGGGGTGACAGTTCTCCCTTGGGGCAGGCCCTCTTAGGAAGCCTGCGAGAACTGACAGAGGACCAGGCGTGGTGCAGGGCACACAGTAGGGGTTCTGCCCTGCTAGGGGCTGTGCTCGGCCACGCCCACTACCCCCGAGCCTCTCCACAAGGGTGGGGAGCAGAGGAGGAAGGGGACGCCCCTCCCCCCGGGTATGCCAGGGCCGCGGGGCCACCTCCGCGGTGTGCCCAGCTGTGTGGCAGGCGCACGCGGTCACCTGTTTTGATTCCGTGGCTCCTCAGAAGCTGGACCATGTCCTGGGTGAGGCCCGGGCAAAGGCCGGCCCTGAGCACGCCCATGGTCCCCGGGGCCCCGGGCCGCCCGGCCCGTGGGCACCCTCACCGCCCTCTCCAGACGCCCCTCGGCCCCCCTTTCTGGACCCGGGCCAGGCGGCGCGCTCCGCGCGGGGGGGGCTGGTGCAGCCAGCCCCACGCGGGGTCCCGGGCGCCCTAGGCTCGCCAGTCCCGCCCGGCCGCCGCTTCCGGCTTCCTGGCTCCAAAGCCGGGCGGGCAGCGCCATCTGCTGGCCGCGAGGGGCGGTGCGCGGCCTCCTGCGGCAAGTTGGGGCGGACACAAGCCGAGTCTGAACCGCCCCACGCACTGGGGCGCATTTTCCACTTGGACATGCATCTCCTGCAGGCGTCACGTGCGCTCCGAGTCCGCGCCAAACACGCACACACGCCGACCTGTGATCCTCTGTTCTAAACGCTGGGCCAGAAAGTTCCAGAAGACTGACCGTCCCCATGCTCAAGGGACCTACCTACTGGTGTGGGCAAGGCAACGAAGAGGAATCCAACCAACCGGATAGGATACTACGTGATGGGTGCCAAGAACACACAGAGGGCACTGCTTCTCTGATTTGTCCATCTTTAATAAATAACATTTTTTATTGATTGATTTTAGAGAGAGAGAGGAACGGGGAGGGAGAGATCGGTTTTGCTGTTCCACTCATTTGGTAGAATGGTTTTTTTGTTGTTAGATTTGTTAGATTCCATTCATTGGTAGATTCAAGATTTTATTCATTTATCTTTAGAGGGGAAGGGAAAGAGAGAGGGAGAGAAATATCAATGTATGGTTGCCTCTCGTGTATCCCGCACTGGGAACTGGCCCACAACCCAGGCATGTGTCCTGACTGGGAATTGAACCCCAGTCCTCTCGTTCACAGGCCCACACACAATCCACTGAGCTACACCAGCCAGGGCTCATTGGTAGATTCTTATATGTGCCCTGACCTGGGATCTAACCGGCAACCTTGGTGCAGAGGGAAAACAGCCAGCTAGCTGTGGGGTCAGGGCCAATAACATTTAAACAAACAAACAAACAAACAAAAATGCTGAGTGTATAGGACACAAAGTATAAGATTTGGTGTTTTTAAACGTCCTTTCCTTTGCCTTATCTTCTAGAAGAAACATAACAACCTTATGGGGGTGTCTCCTCATAATCCAATGAGGTGGGCACTGTTTTTATCGTGTTTCATAGATGAGGAAGCTCAGGCTCCAGAGGTGCGGTCACAGCGCCGCAGAGGACAGAGCCTGCGAGGGCAGAGCTGGACTTCAGTCCGTCAGACACGTGCCCTCTAAGTGCAACGCCGGTTCAGCTGTAACAGCCTCTCTTCCCACCACGGAGGTCGTGTGTATGTTTTTTCCTGCAGTGGAGGGGCCTCCTTGAGAATAGAAATAATGTCTGGTCCATCTCTATCCCTTTGCATTGCCCTCCTGTGTCACTCAACACATGGGGACCTTTGGGGTCAGAGTGTGGCACGTTTAGAATTCCAGCAGTAAAACCTGGGTGTGTGTGCTCTCCCCGGGCCTGCAGACCAGACATAGCGGGGGCTTGCTGCGTGCAGTTTCTGGACAAGGCGCCTCAGCCTGCCAGTCTCCCACTCCCTCCATGTCCAGGTGCCTTTGTCCCACCTTCCCTCCCCTCCCTCCTTCCCAGGGCAGCGCCAAAGGGCTCCACAGGCGGTAAGCATTTTGATCCTCAGAGAAGGGCAGTGCGCCTGCCGAACCGCAGAGCGTTAGAGCTGGAAGGGTGATGGAATCCTCTTCTTGGCTCTACCCCACTCCACCCGCCCTGGTCCTGGCCCCGGGCAACAGCAGCCCCTAATTGTTACACTCCGAGATGATTGTGAAGTCAGCTCACTGCACCCGCAGCCCAACTAAACGAAGGTGGGTCTGCTGCCTCCAGTTTCTCTCCACTTCCTGTCTGCTTGGTTGCCCTGCACGGTGACCGCTGTGGCCCCAAACAAACCAGATGGCATCAGAGGTGTTCTGTAAAGTGGGAGACGGGGAGGAGGCCCTGATGAAAAAGGAAACCCTCAATGTTTCGAGTCCAATGTCGGAGCCCTTTCCGAACCCCAAGTCTATGAACAGGACGGTGGCCACCAAAGGATTCCCACTTTCCTCAAGGGGCAGTTTGTTTAACTTCACGGAGGAAGATGTCAGCAGTCTACCGTAAGACTCAAGTCTGGTCCTTTCCTCCTTTCTAAGCCAGGAGCTGGGGGGTGGGGAGGGGCTTGACAAAGAGGTACTTCCTGGACCTGTCACAACCTGGGCCTTGGACTTCCTGGGAAGGGCACGTGTGCAGGTCGAGTCATAGATTCCTGACCTCGAATCAGTTCCTGGAGTCATGTCGGCCTCCCACTGCAGGAAGCCTTCCAGGATTGGTCAGAGATTTGTTGTGGTTGTTTACTTTATTATTGTTCGAGTACACTTGTCTGCCTTTTCCCCCACCGCTCCCCCACGACCCCAGCCATCCCCACCTCCCTCCCCTGATTCCACCCCCCCTTGGTTTGTCCATTTGTCCTTTATAGTTGCCCCAAGATGTGTTGACTGTGCATCCCTAGTATAGTTAGGGTCCTCCCCCTGCTCCCCCAGACACCCCTGCCCCCTTCCTCTCCCCATGGCTCCTCTCTCCATCCTCCTTCTGGTGCTGCCCCCTTCCTGTGTCCCCCCAGTAGCCTGTCTGTGTTCAGGTCGAGGCTTACTGCTCCTCCTCAGAGATTCTGGGTTCCCTTTACTTCATCCCACAAAACGCCTGGAGCTCCTGCCAGGTGTCTGGCCCAGGGTTAAGTTCTGGAATGTGCAGCTGAAAAGCACAGTCAAGTAGCTCCCCGAATGGGGTGTGTGTCAAGAATCAAGAATGATACAGCACGGTCCATGATACAATATGACTCCTTGAAAAAAACGGAAGAGGCTTAGTATAGCTTGGGAGAAGGTGCAGTTAAGGGAGGCTTCTTGGAGGAGGTGATACGTGAGCTGAATGTCCTAGGAATGGAAGGAATGAACCAGTGAGGGGGGGTGGTTGACATAGGCAGAAGGAGTCATCTGCAAGGCACTTTCACGGCGTGTGACTTTTATAGTCATAAGGGCCTGTATTTGCTTTAATGCTCACAGTCACTCTCTTGAAATTCTTAATAATTTTTGAAGGAGACTCACAAAACTACCTTATTTCACCATGTATAATGTGCAAAACCCACATTTTTGGCCCAAACTTTCAGGAAAAAAAAACTTTAATTTTTATTTTTAACTCAATTATTTATTTATGTACTTGTTTTTTGCATTATAAAGGAATTTTTGCATTTGTTTCTGAACATATGGATATTGTTATTGCTTTCTAGAGTTACACTTCAAAAAAATTTTTAAGATTTTATATATTTATTTTTTAGAGAGCAGGGAGGGAGGAAGAAAGAGAGGAGAGAAACATCAATGTGTGGTTGCCTCTCATGTGTACCAACTGGGAACCTGGCTCACAACCTAGGCACGGGCCCTGACTGGGAATCGAACGGGTGACCCTTTGGTTCATAGGCCTGAAAAGCACAGTCAAGTAGCTCCCCGCCTGGGGTGTGCTCAATCCACTGAGCCACACCAGCTGGAGCCAAAATTCTAAATAATTTTTGAAGGGGGCCCACAAACTATGTCCTAATTATATGAAAGAGATAGGGTACCCACTTCCTAAGGGACCTGCAAGTGGCAGGTTTGGCTGAAGTGATACATGCTTCTAGGAAACTTCGTGCTATACTGAGAAAGCCTAGGACTACAAGTCCAAGTTCTACCACTTAGCTCTACAGCTGCGGAGAAGTTCATTAAGATCAGGGCCTCCTCAGTCCCACGTGTGGAAACTTGGGCCAGCGCCCATCCAGCAGGACCGCTGTAAACTCAGAAGAGCGTGTGTCCAGCATCAGCTTCAGCCCTGGTGTTTTGAAAACGTGAATCTGAAACAGAGACTCATGAGGACAACTTGAAGTGTAAATGGCAGCAACACTCAAGACTCTCCAGCCTACAAGTGACCTTGGTGGGGAAGTCATCTCCTCTAAATACCCCCCAGTGGCTGGCATTGGAGGCTTGGGCTGGTCAGGGTTTGTCAAAGGTTTTTGAGCATGTGTACATTCATCTGCTAATTTTACACGCTATGTATATTAATACTGTTCAATGTTATATGTTCTAATTAAATAAATTAATAATCACATTAAATATTAAATAGTGAAGCCCTGGCTGGTGTGGCTCAGTGGATTGAGCCCCAGCCTGAGAACCAAAGGGTCACCTGTTTGATTCCCAGTCAGGGCACATGCCTGGGCTGCGGGCCAGGTCCCCAGTTGGGGTGTGTGAGAGGCAGCCACACTTTGATGTTTCTCTCCCCACTACCTCTCTCTCTTTTCCCTTCTCTAAAAATAAAATCTTTAAAATAAATAAATAATTAAATAGTGCATACATATCAGTAAAGCTTATTTTCCTTTTAAACATTTTTCCACCCTCCAGTAGGTCATGGGGTCACTCCCTGGGACCTTTGCACCCCACTTTAGAGGAAGGACTTAGAGAGTTTTAGCAGGTGTTCCTCAAATTGTGGTTCTCAGAATCACCGGCATCAGAATCACCTGAGGATCCTATGCACTGTGGCAGCTTCCCCAGCCCCACCCCAGCTGGGGACCGGGCACCAGGAATCTGCATTTTCCACGAGTGCGTGCCCTGGCGGGTAGACGCACTGCTGCCCAGCAGTGAGGATGTTCCGAGCTGTTCAGAAGCAGCTGGGGCCCCACGTGAGTCAGTCCCAGCGCCCGGGCCTCCCGGAGCTCCCTGGCTCCGTGGGCGGGCTGGCGTGGACCCCTCGGCCATCGGGTCACCGTCTCCCCTCTCGCTCCAGGAGGCCGATGCCAGAGGAGGAGTCGGAGTGCAGTTCCGACGACACCAGCACCTCCCCCGTCTCGTCCACCTTGTTGAACCCCATCAAACTGGCCGTGACCCAGCCCAACAGCAGCTTCTTCGCCGGGCTGCTGGAAGGTGAGCTGAACAAACTCAACACCTCCCCGGCGGCCAGTAACGAAAAGGAGGACCTGGCCCTCTGCCTCCACCACTCTAAGTCCCACACAGCCCCCGGGGGCCTGCTGGACCTTGACAACCCCGAGCTGGACACGGACACCACCTCGACATCCTCGAAGTCCTCCGTGGTCACGGATGTGCCAGAG